TAACCTATAATGTTTTCTGTGGAATTTGATCTTGATTGATACTAGTTTTTTTGTTTAAAATCAAAACAAAAATTAGACACTTTCTATATGTTACTATTATATTGATGAATGACAATTATGTTGAACGTGATGTTGTTCCTTTTTTATATCTTTATAATTATTACTTATATTGAACCATTATTACATTGATAATTCAGAAAAATAAAGTTCAAAGATCGATGTATTGTTATTGTAGGGTATGGATGTTATTATCTAATTTTATGTAGGTTTTACAATTTTTTTTTAAAGTAATAATACGACATTACATCTCAGTAATTAGTCATCGTCAATGCGATACTGTTTTACAAGTATATTTCAATTAATTAAAACTAATATATATATATATTAATAGAGGATTGATTTTTGTATAATCCCCGATTACTACTTATATGTATTTATTTATATGAGAGATAGCAGAAGGAAGCACATGAATTATTGTTTATCATCGATGCATGTTTTTATTTTATTATGATTCGAGCGAAAAAACTATGCGGGCTAGTTAATGAAGAAGATCGATTGAATTAGAAAGCATATTATATTGACCTCAATCATGTGCGGTTTTCTTTTTGTACGGTGATAAAACCATGGTTATAATTATACACGAACATCATCATAGATCTGCAAAAATGTTTTGATGACATTACAAATCAATGATATAAAAGACTAGAGGACTCTATTGCAATCATTGAACAAAGGTAAACGATATATCGGTCCCTTGCCATCTAATCAAGCTAGAGTTCGACCGAAGTATGCTGAGAGTAAGAACAAAGCTGAAAATTCCAGTTTAGTCTCAAATACCTGAGTACACACAATTGTTGGATAATCTTACTTTTTTTGTCTGTTAATCGTATTTACTATCTTGAATGAAGATTGATGCAAATGCGAAAACTTTGATTGATCAAAGCCAGCAAATTTCTCAAGGTTTTGAGCATTGATATTTAAAAAAAATAAGTAACGCTCTTTTTAAAATTTGTATATACACTAGCGCTCAAAATCGATCATACATTCCAGTCAAAAAATGGATGCATATGCTACTTTGTATTTCATCTTTTTCAATAAGAAAACGCATTTTAATAATAGTTTAATAGAGCTTCACTCTCTTTACACTCAACACATTTAAAAATGGATCTTCTTGTCCAAAAGGATGAAATGCCAAATTATTTATCGGTCTATGTTATTCAATTTTTCAAAAGACTTTTTTAAATTCTACGTTTAGTTTTAGGTGAAAGAAATTGAGAAAGTTGTCGAAACACTTAAAAGAGATTGAAATGAATGGCTGTCTAATATAGACTTAAAACGTACTTTGCAATCTATTGAAAGAAACTTAGTTTAAACCATAGTTACATCATTTAACTCAAAAGATAATCATAATTATTTATTTCATCTATTTGAATTCATTAAAATAATTACTTTGATATTTTAAACTTATTTAAAAAAATAAATAAAAAGATTTCATGAAAATAATTGAAATAACTGATCGTGAGAAATATGTTCATATAACATTTTTCGAAATGACAAACATATAAATTCATTGAGTCTCATCAAATGAATAAGAATCATCCATTCGTTAATGATGTGGTAGTATTTCAATAGATAGAATTAATAAATAAGAAATGCTGAAAAAGAACGTTAAAATGGTTTTCATTCTTGATATTTTATTGATAGTGTACTTTCGAGAATGTTTATTCAAACAGTAACAACACTGTTAAATAGATTAAAGAGTTGCATTTCGAAAGCAAAAATTGAATTGTAGTTCTTGTTTTAACATGCGTTATTTATCGACAAAGTGAGGCATTATTCAGTCGTGATCTTACTGATCTTTCGAGTTGATCCACATCGAAGTGTCGTAGTGATTGTCTTTTAGGAAGCAAGTATTCAAATTAGCTTTACTGATATAATCAAATAAAATTGGATCACATACGTGCAATGACTTTGCGATTATTACGACAAAATTCTTTACTCAATATCGCAGAAGATCAACTCAATATATTGCAGTAAACCTAATATAAATTATTTGCTATTATTTGTTTAGTTTTTCTAGCGAAAAGCATTAAATTTTAATATGCTAATCGAAGCAGAACAGTAGCGATAGCGAAATTCATTACTCAGAAAAGTTTATTAAAGAACATCCACATGTTTCTAATGAAGATTATCATATATTTAAATCACTTCTTCAAAAACCGCGGCGAACTTTTCGTACTAATTTCATTAAGGTATGAGATACTCTCAAAGTGATTTTTCATGAGTTTTCATTTCCTATTTTATAATAAGTAGACAGGAGATTGAATACAAAACAACAATCTTGAATAGATTCTTCATAAGTATAAGATTTAGCTCATTTACTATCAAAATATCAATAAACTGATTATTTAAAGAATGCATCAATAAACGAGGTAGATTTGGAAATATATAGAAGAGTTGAAGAATTTTTAACTGAAGTTGTACATAAATTGTTCAGTATATCTAACGACATAAAATATATTAAGTAAATTTTATATCATTGCAAAATAAAGTTGACTTTCTGAAACATAAACCATAATAATTTGTGGATCATTTTATATCTAATCGCCTTTTTCTCGACATCAACAGCCAAAAAAATATCTTATGTTTGGCGGGTGTAAGTGTTGGGTGTTGGTGTCAGTCCTATACCTGACCGTACTCTTCACCAGTACCCCATGCCCACCTACATCCACGTTCACACCCACACCCTAGCTAGAACCGATCTGAATCTAGTAGGTCAGGTCAGACCAGTCGCTGGTACCGACTTCGTCTCAGACTAGTTTCATCTCTGGCAAGAACGGTTCTAAGTACTGGTAAATCTTTTTAGTAATTTAATTTCAGAGTTCGATACAAAAAGTAAATAATGGCATAATCTTCAGTTTGATCAAGCTACAACTACAAGAATTTTCATCATGGATTTACGAGACATAACAGACAAAAATGACAAGTAGTTTCTATGATTTTTGTATTTTATTTTAATCTATAACTGAAAAATTTTGGAAATGACTACTCTCTCTTGTAGGAGTCTCACTGTATTCCTGAGCAAATTTCCAATTAAGATCATTTTTATTAAATATGATTGAGTATTGATCTTTTTTTCTCTATTCAGATTATTAGATGTGTATGATCAAGGTGCACATGCGATTAACCGTTTAGTTAAAAGTGTTTTTTGTCCAAACTTCTACTATATATTGTATGTGAAACTGAAAATAAATCTCAATCGATTTTTTTTGAAAATTTAGGAGAATAATGGTCACTATTATTTCTTAATTATAATTTTGTGCCTTCAATTCATAAAAATACCAATAATTTGGATATCTATAGAATGTCAAATATTTGTTTACACAAAAATGCCACAGATTCATCGTCGAGATATTGGATCATTATGATATCTTCATCAGACAACTCGTATTTAGCAAAACGTACATCGAGTCTTAGTTGAGAAGTTTTATTTGATTAATACATTTATTAAGCTCATCTTCAGATTAAGAATATGTACAACGTTCAAGTGATATGAAAAATGATCATTCACATTTATGTTGAACTTCCCAATAAAGACTTTCTTATAGTTCTTATTTGTAACATTAACAAAGAAGACCAAATAAACCTCTGCGAAGAATTTTTTCCTTCATTTTGTGCCAATACGATTATGATTTGTATATAAATGAAACTAACTGGGTTTTGTTTCTTATTTTAATTTTTTAATCTATTATAGTTGATGAATAGAAAATTCGACTAGGAAAACATATGCACCAGATATTTTTGATTATCATAGTAGATTTGTGCATGTTTTCAGTTCTGATTTATTCATTATTAGATTTTTATAAAGTTTTATCGTTATATTTTTTTTTAATGTTCTATGAAGTTTTTTGCCCAATGACTCATTGATAAATTGTCAGCTGTTTTGACGTTATGTGGCATGGATGGCCTCGTGGTATGGTGCGAATGCAAAGGAAAAAAGAAAGAAAAAAAACCCAACCCCAACTTTCGATTTAATTATTTTATTTGGTTCTGTTTACAACTGATACAAATTTAATTACTGTTTACGAAGAATAAATAAAAATTAAGAAAAAAAACCAAGACGATATCACTTTATTGTTTTTCATGCATGAATGTTTCTATTCTCTGAAGTGAATCAAAATTTATCAGTGAAATCACAAGCTCAAATGCATTGAATTGATAGTGGTGGACTTTGATTCACATGTTTTTTCTTCTTCATTATAAAGATGAGTCACCGTTTAATGAATTATTGCATCAGTTTTGCAATTTTCCTAGACGATAGATGAAGTCAAATAAAAAAACCAACAAATTGATATATCTACAATATGTTTATCTACTTGCTGAGCAAGAATGAAAAGAAAAGAATATCATTCTCTCTCTTCTACATTTATATGTAAGAATATATTTTTTTTTTCACATACATCTAATCATGATCAAAAAAACACAGAAAAATAATATTGTTTCTAACTGTTATTGCATCATTCAGCCTCGTCACTAGAATATTCTAGCACGAAAATTTAACTGGATGACTTCTCAAAGAAAAAAGTAAACAACAAGAAGTAAAACACTAAGTTATTCTCTTATACTGGTTTATACCAAATAGTTCTGAAGTTTTCTTCGATGTTTTACATACATCTGATTGTTATTTCATCAAGCTTGTTTCAAGCATAAACATTTAAATTTTATTTTATTTTATAAAATTTGTGATATAATGAATGGTCATTTATTTCTAATTGTTCATGAAGAATAGAAATCTTTATTTATATTATTGATCTATGAGTACTTTTTTCATCTCATATTTACTTGGTTTTTTTCTTCTTCTTTCCTTCCTTATGATGTGGTTGTCGGATGGAAATGTCGTAACGACAATTACTCATCTTACCGTTTTCTTCCTATATAAGCAAATACAGCAAGCATTCACATTTACTTTCAGATTTCCAACGAACAAAGACACATACACAATGCTTGATGATGGTCATGAAAAAGAAAATTTATTTTATCAACCGAAAAATACAATAGATGATGATGATGATTCAGGTACAGAAGGAATTGAACAACAATTTGAACATGCTTCTATAACAAAACTCAATGACAACGAAGATAAATCATCAATAAAATCTTTCAGTCCAAATCCTGATGAAGGTTTTTTCGAAAGTGAAATTCAACATGAACCAACCCGTACACTTATTAAAAACTATCGTAAGCTGAAGAAATTTTTTTTTTGTTGGTTTTTCATCATCATGAATCAGAACGAATTTGCTATGTCATCGTACTAAATGACGTTTTCTTCGATTTTTTTTTCAGTTGAACTTGCAAACAACATTCCGAATGATATGAAAAAGGAAGTTTGTTCGGATACAAAGGTAGCATTTCATGGTGAATTTGCCCGACTTATTTCAATACCATTATTATTATATTACAATATTTATTATAAACTTTTTTCTGAAGAAGAATTCATTAATGCACCATATATGAATTTAAAGTTTGAGTATTGCATACTTGATAATGCTAAAGCACGATTTAATTGTCCAAATGTATGCTGCCAACATGCATGGACATCAATGAGAGCAAGAATTTCATTTTTAATTAGTTTACCAAATACTGGATTTATTGTACTTAAAATTTTCGGACAAAATTGTGAACATTGTGGTACATATACTCATGCACTTTGGTATATTGGTAAGATTTTTATTCTTATTATATTATCTTGTAAAGTTTTCTTTTCATATTTTTAGATGAAGTTTGTCGAGTAATGAAAAATTTGGCTATGACACTTCTTGAACTCTATTTTCCTGATATGATACACAATGTCGATTGCAAAAATCAAATATTAATACAAAATAATACAACAGCATCCCGTCAATTACTTCATGATTCTGCTCAAAGAAACGGAAGAATGTTTGCACCACATATCAAAGAATATTGTGAAGCATGTCAACGTGGATTATGCTTCACTTCAAAAAAAAGATGAACATATATTAACTTGTACATAAACATGTTATTTTTTACGTTCAAAAAACATTTTTCTTGTATTTCCATCTATCGGTTTATTTATGTGTGATTGAGTTATGTACAAGCACTATTTAAAAGCCATCTCATTTTTTATTTGTTTTTGTATAATTAGTATTTTGCATGGTTTTTGTTTTTTGCAACATACTTCGGTGACATTTCTCTAAAAACGTTATATATATATATATATGGATTTTTATTATTTTCGCCACTTGTAGTGAACATATGATAATACGAGCATATTCGATTATAATTGAAGATGATGTAGCTCTTTTCGTATAAGCTAGCAGATAATTTAGTACAGAATTTTTTGTTATAATGAAATATATTTTGAAGTTGAGGTAATATCAAAATAATTTTTTTCGTATTATTAACGGTATGATTAAATTGCTATTCTTTTTCGTTAAATATCCTCACGAATTGAAACAAGTATAGATAGATGCTGAAGCACTAACTATGAAAAAGAAAAAAGTATTTCCTCACTATTTTTGATGCTGAAGCACTAACTATGAAAAAGAAAAAAGTATTTCCTCACTATTTTTGATGCTGATATTAGTAGATTAATTGCATACTCTTTTCTTTGCTTTGCTTACTTCTCTCTTAAATCTTAAAATTTCAACCCATGCTGTTCGTTATGTAAATCTCTTATTTTTACATATAGGCCACATATTAAGGGATCTTTATAATATAGGAACATATGGGAGTAAAATTTCATTGTGTATTAATTGAAAGACTTCTTCTAGATAATCAAAAATATTTTTATTAAAAAAAAAAACAATACATCCATGAATGAAAAAAGCATACCCTTCTTACCATGATATCGACTATTTAATGAATTTTTCCTCTAGAGCCCTAGTTTTCAAGCAAAATCATACTTTTCAATTTCAACCTAAAACTCTATTGGATGATATAATATCAAGATGAAAAAATGATACCAAACTATTCCAAAGTATTATTAATGAAAAAAAAAGTCACATATTAAATTAGCTATTGTCACTTTATTTTTTGTATGTTGAAGTGTTTTTTTCTGAATAATCATCGGTTTCATTTTTTGTAATAATACTAACTGTTGTGTTTGTTGATCATGTTATTTTGTACAGACTGGCCATTTTTATAAATAATTATATGATTGGATCTAGTTTTCAAGCAATTAATTATTCGAATTTTGTCATTTTTGTTAATTAATTAATATGAGAAAAAAAATCGATTTAGTATATTTATTTCAAAAAGAAAATTTATTTAAAAATCTTAATCTAATTCTAACGCCATCTTTCCAATTAATAATGAGTAACAAAGTATATTGCTGACTCTAATTTTCGAACATTCGATGAGAGACAAGATAGTCAGCAGGAATGAGCAATACTTATAGAATCGATTTACTTCAATTAAAGTCAAACTTTTCACCAAAAATATAAATGATTCGATTAAAACAAACAGCTATCATCACCATCGTTATGTTTACCCACCCTCAAATATATCAACAGATAAAGAAAAATTTTCAAAATCGAATCAACAAATAATTGCTGTTTATGTTTATCATGTAAAGAGAGTGTGCACATGAGTTAATAGTCTAAGAAAATATTAATTTGTTTTTTTTTTCGGTTGCAAACAACGTCAAGTATCAAAACAAAGCACATTAAATGATGAGTGAATGTTTTAATTTTATATGTTTTATTGTTAAGAATAAACATTTTCTATATGAAATTTATTTTGATTAAGTCAATAGACCAAATACAACTGTTTATGCTAATCTATGTCATAGGGTCTCTCACGTATTTTCAGTTTGGATTAAAACAAATAATTATTTATTGTAGTAAAAGACACAAAATAATCTTTTATTCTAATCATGAGACCGTTCAAAATTCGATTGATCTGGATTCTCTTCTATTAATGTTCATCATTGACAAGAGTAAAAATAAGAAGATGAGAGCATAAAGAAACAAAATGTTGAAACACCCACGCCGGGACTCGAACCCGGACTCTTCGGATTGCTCTTGTTAAAATAAACGTAGGAGTCCGATGCCTTAATCCATTAGGCCACGCGGGCTTCTCTCTCTCTTCGCATTTATTTACTGTCAATTTTGTGCAGTCTCTAGTGTCATACTCAACTAGTTCATTATTATTAACAACATCATCAGTATTCGTGAATGAAGCTGCAACAAATGTTCTTCCTTTTTTTCTTTCTAGCTACTACTAATAGTAACACTAACACTTCAAAATGAATTATTCTCAATAAACAATTTCTAAAATAAAATACTTAATTATTGAAAAATATTTTTTCTTTGTCGTCTCGCGTCCATGAATGAATGTTTTCTTCAGCTAAAGTTATATACATCACCTATATTTTCTTTGATCTGATTCTTATTCATTTATTTTTAATTAAAATATCTCTATTGATGATTCATTGATTTGATTAGATCTCGTTTCGTCGAAAAATAACTTCGAATTAATCAATGAAGAATAGATGATATCATTTGATGAGATTTTTTCGTCATACTAATCAGGAATAGTACCTAATTACTTGTAGATAAATTTATTAAAATGAAAATTTATTATAGAGTGGGTTTAGATACATAAATAAGAAATTATTAACACAAAATATGAATATAGAAAAGAAAAGAATGAATACTTTTTTTATTCCGATTAATCGCATAACTTTTTCAAGATATAATAATATTATTTGTTCTCTGTAAGTTTTTTTCACTGGTTGTGATGTATCTTCAATACGTCGTTTTAAATGCCTTTTAAATTCTTCCACTTTACATTTTATTTCATCATCATCATGATTATGTGATTTTTTCATCCTCGATGGTTTTGAACCATATTGTATAGCACATCCAGGACATAAACGATTTTCACATTTCCAATAAATAGTTGTGCTTAAAATGTTATCTTGTGTGTAGCGAAAAGTATCAAGTAATAATGTTGGTTTATTACGTTTACTTTCAACAATAGATAGCATCGTTTTGTGTAATAATGAATGAATATAACAAAAAAAAATGAATTTTCCTTTTTTACTCCACATATATATACTTTTGCAAAATTACAGATTACTACAGTAGTATAGAGATATCAATCCGTTTCTTTTTAAGGAAACAGTTTAGGTCAATCAAAGAAATTGAGCTTATCACTTTGATTATACTTTTTTCATTACAATTTAATTTTTCGACGAAACGGGAATCTACCGCCATGGACTATAAACTTAACTAAATGAATTATTTTTTGATACTGGATCAATTAATAATGAAATTCGATATTCTGTTGCTTGGATAAAATCATTTGCAATACGAATTCGATCGTTATTATATTTTAGTTGAACATAACATATTCGACTACCAATTGGCCTAATTTATTCAATATGAAAACGAAGTCGAACATAAACAGATAAAATTATGAAATTCATTATTCTTTGCATATAATTGATGAGTACTACGGAATATTCTAGAATATAAATAAAATATTCACATTTAAAGTTAGATGATCTATTCGAAGTAGATACACAGTTGTTCACTATTGAAGTATAGTGAGAGTTAGAAAATTTTTATTTTGATTTTAGATAACTAATAATACTTATTTTAAAATAAAAAATCTCGCTTTTTCAATATTAAAATCTGTCATTCATTAGTAATAAACTTTCTTTTAATCAGTGAGACAAAATATCTTCCCTCAAACCACATTCAGTTGCATATTCAGCGGTTGCACTTTTAATTAATTTAGTTTGTAAATCAGCTATTATATTCATTCAATCAATATCTTTTCGATCTTCAATATGTCATTATCAGTAATGTTCGATAATATAATGTTTTTTTTTACGTGTGGAGTGTCAACAGATACAGAGAAATTTTTGATTGTATTAAATAATATTGAAAGAAGAACTTGTCCTTGTAAAACAAAATTTTGTAGTTTGGCTGCTGACAAATCTTCAGAATGATTCATTTGTTTGAACTCAAACGCAAGAACATTTTTTATTGCTTCAGCTTCTGTATATGACAAACTTTGAAAATCGTGTCGACCACTCGTAAAATGATATATTTCACCACGTAAACGTAGATACAGATGCATTGTACTTTTCTTTTGTATGTTATAATCTGAAAGAGTTCTATCGTCCTCTAGTTGGCTTTCACCAAATATCAAACATTGCTGGTCAAGAGGAACACCTTCTATGTCTTGGATCAATTGTTTTACAGTATCTATATACATGTTTTGCTTGACTTCTAACGTAATCTTTTTTTCAGTATAAGTTTTTACAAACATTTGAAGTCTAGCATTAGGTTCTGTTATATCCGTCTATGTAAAAACAAATTATATAATGTCAAAAAGAAAAAAGTTTTAATTTACTTTTTTTTGCAAAACTCTTGCTATAATGATACAATTATCTTGACATAATAGGACAGTATCATCTGACTTGAATGTTCTACCATTACTCCAGTATTGTTTTTTCGTTCGAGAATCTTGGTCTAACATAAATGATTTTAATTCAATGCTTTGGAGTTTTAGAATATTCTGTATAGTATGTACATAACAAGAACACGTATCACAAATTGTCGAGGTGGTTCATCTTCACTATATTCTATCGAGATATTCAATTTATCATATGTAATAAATTGATAATCATCTCTGGATATTAGAATAAAATATTTGGGTATATAATCCTTCTTGTACTTTTTAAACAATGTCCTTATCGATTCATGATCCATATATTTGTTAATCATTGGAGTACTATATGGATCAATAAATGTTATTGAACGTGATTTTAAATCCTGCCGTATCGTCATGTCATTTTTCCACTGAGTATCAAGATATCTTGCGATTTCGATCATTTGATTTTGAATAACTTGAATATAACATATTAAATCTTCATAAACAAATGAACTTAAGTTTGTTGATAAAATAGTTGTTGATGCTGATGTTGAATTATCCATCTGTCTATGCATAGATATATCTAAAATTAAAGAAATGATGATAAACTTAACAAATGCCAATGGTAATAACTTTTTTTGAAACGATAACTATTTGGGTATGTTGGTTGATCGATATTTCTTTTTCTGCTGAATACCCTGATATTCACATTCAGTTAGCTGTTCTATATAAATATTGAAATATTCTGCAAAAAAATTTTGCCGTTATGCCTTTTGAATTCTTATTTATAATCTTAAAAAGTTTTTTCGATGACCAAAAAAGAAAAGTATAAAATTGTCGATTTTAAAAAGCTCTCAAAATTTTGACGAATATCAAGAAGGATCAATTTTGACTTGCTATTATGAAATATATTATGGACATATATTTTCCTTTTCAGAAAATGAATTGTTTGAACTGAAAAGAAGTCAGTTGAAATTCTTTTTAGATTTAATGCTACTACGTAGATATCTTGAAAATCAATGTTTACAGTGTAGATTTGAAATGGAAATCAATCTGAATCATCGAACTTTTATAAATAAATGAGTTCGGGAGTCGAAAAACGTGTGTCTCACTAGATCCTAGGAGAATGACATTCTTATATTTTTTAGACCAACGGAACAATTCAAAATATTTAGGACAAGACAAACGGAATTTAGTACTACTCGAAAATTCAAGCTATTGAAAAATTCTCGTAATATGATAGATGAGTTTCGGGACTCGAAAGAAGTTTGTCTCTAAGGATCCTAATCACAACGGAATCCAGATCAACTTATGATGATCTTCAAAGTTGTTGAAAAAGAAAGAAACTGAAGCCAGTAAAACGAATGTGTAATTCATTAATTACTTTTCTTACTCGTTTTATTTTGCAGTATGGGAAATACGTCCTTACATAGACGCATGCAATACCGTCGGTAATACACGATTTTATGTCATCTTCACAAATGATTCTTCTGTTGGAAAAAAAAACATATTTTTTTTTCCAACAAATCTTAATAAGGTGTATCATAATTATTCATTTTCATCTTCTCAAGAGAGGAAAAGGCGAAAAAAAGAAATACGAAATCACATTTCAAGTTTTTGGTGAATCACATTTTACCCTTCTAGTGAACATTTCACGCTTCATGCAGACACGGTCGTTACATTTGCAATTAAAATTGTCTTTTTTTCTGCATGCTTTTCTCTCTCTCCTTCTCTGTTTATCCATATATTCTGTTGAATAAATTAATAAGAATCTATCCATTTTTTAGCTCAACTGCATGTCGAAATAGACAAGAGAAACAAAAAATAGCTACACCAGGTTCACTTCAGAGTGTGAATGTGAACTTGTTTCCAATCTACATCCACACCATATTTATCAGGCTTTCTTTTGTAGTTTTTCGGCAAGATTCACGGTCGATCCAGAAGAATCAAATATAGAACTTTGAAAAAAGTAGAGTAATTAATTGTACCAGTTTTTAAATTAGGATACATCAACTACGTATTTGATTCGTAGATAATATAGAACTCAAACGTAACACTCACAGATTAAAATGAATTCCATTAGGAGCAGGTTGAGTTTTGATCATATATTTTGATTACAATATATTTTTGAATATTGGTCTTTTGAATGAATTGCAATAATAATGGATAAATGTAATTGTTGCATAAAGTTTGCAAAATTTTTATTAAACGAGACAAACATGATCGTTCAATCATTCGAAGACGATATCAAGCTCGATGATACGGATAAGTTCAAAACGATAAATATCCATTATCAACGTAAAATGTTAATAGATAAAATTTTGATTGATTTATAATTCGCAATGTTTGCTCAAACAAAATAGATCGTTAATCAGCAGCTTCTCATTGAAAAATGTCAGTCTGATTTTCTTTTTTGAACGATTTACTTTTGATATTTTGACAATGTTCATCAAATCTATTTGAACATTACGACTGATGTTGATACGAATTGAAATTTCGGACTCCAATCGATGAGAAACTATTTGACAGAATCAGATGTCATAGTCTTCGAATATTTCAAGTCAACAATCGATTTCTTGAAGATATCCCATTGATGATATTTTTTCTCAAATGATTATGCGTCTAACTTCAATGAAAAATAATTCATAAATCAATCTCACTCTTAAAATAGTCGTCATCAATCATGATTAGCAAAGTTTTCTCAATATCGACTAGATTCTGTGCAGAATTTATTTGAATTAAATGTATCTATTCAGTTTGATTGTGCCAAGACTAACAAAACGACTATACACATCTTCATTCCAGCACTGATAACAGCATGATTTTTCTGTACTCCAAAGCAAACAAATGTCTAAAGATGTTTTGGTACAAAGCGAATGAGAATATCAAAAAGTGCATGAACGATGTTCTGCAACTTATTTATCATTAGCAACATAATTTATTTACCTATGAAATATTCATATAGAACAAACATTATACTTGTTAAGTGCGTTTATTCATTAAACAAAGGTTGACACGTTCGTTTTTTGACTGTTTTTGTTTTTCAATGCACATGAGCAATATATATATAAAGTGATTTAAAAATTGTTATTTAATTCTATTCTTAACAACTTTTAATAATATGAGTTTATCACTAAATAAAGTATAACTCAAATTATAAAACAAACACAGATACGTGAATGATTATTTCTGCTCACGATCGAATCCATTTGAACTAAACATAGTCCATAAATCTCTCTGAGAAATATAATGATGATGTAAACGATAAATGACAAAAAAACCTGTATAACACTCATCGAAACAAATACTGATTTTGATAATAAAATAAATTTGATTTTAATTTTTTTCTCCGTATTTGTTCATGTAGTAAACCACTTTGATAGATGAAATATAAGAGCACTGGTACAAACGATACCTTTGCTTCTGATATTATGTTAAGTCTTTTTCTTGATTATACATGTTGTATTTTCATTCTTCTCAATGCAAAATTACTGAAATTAGATTATACAATGAACGATTTTCCTGAACGGATCGAAATTCAAGAAATAGCCAAACAATGGAATACTGATGATCTTGATTTTTTATATGAATATGCCGGTTAGTGGGTTTTTATTGTGTCTAGTCTTTTTTTTTGTCGGCATATGGCTGCGCAAGAAGCTGCACAACATCGAGATGAAACGACAAAAAATGCAGCTTAATATTTTCGATATATCTCTTTGCTTAACATGTTTGTATCTTTGATCATTGTTGTATTACAAGGCGAAATTTTCTTGTACTTCATTTTTGTGTAATTTTGTTAAAACCGAGAATATTTATGCTTAATTTGTTTTTGTACTAAATATCTTTGATAATGTGTTATTTGTATATAGAATAAAGTTAAAATTATTTCTTCTTAATTTAATTCAATTCAATTGAGATCATCAAGTAACATATTTCATCTTTATTATAACTTAACATTGACTTATGTTGAGAAATATTGGTGAATTAATGCGCAATAATGATTATTTTATTTAACTTTGAAGATTTCTTTTGATCGAAAAATTATTCATTGCGACTGAGAAAATGAAAATATTATGTATTCCTTTTTCGAAATATGATCTTATTTCAATAATTCATAGGTGTTAATTACTAATAGGAGGGTATGGGTGTGAGTCTTCTCTAAAGCTACATTCAAACTTGCACAAGAGTGATTCATAATAAACGAAAACCGTGCAATCAAGCAGAAATATTTGATTGCGTGTCATTTAGCGATGGACGATCGCGATTAAAATTGAATTTTTGCCTCGGTTCTTAATCATTCTTCCTAATTTCGTTTGTTTTTTTTTGCAAAAAACATCAAAACTGTGAAATAGTGTTTTGATGGTCACACTTTTCGTGACATCAAGAACATATAAGTTTCCCACTTATGATATCATCGATTGGTTAGTCGCTGTTTAATAGGTGTGACCAAACGAAAATGAGAGAAACTGTTCATATATATATATATAGATATATATATGTAGTCAGAGCAAGTTTCAATACATTTTATAAACCGCTCTCCAGGTTTAAAGCATGCAAAGATTGGACCTCATCGCCTTCGTTTTTATTACGAGTTTTGTTCGAACGGTCGGTTCGGCTAATGTGAATGTAAGCGGTGTCCTTCAAGTTAATACTGTGTGAACCACAGGAAATATTTATTATCTGGTTGATAATGTACATGTTCCAGCAAACATTACGCTCACCATTCAACCTGATGTCAACGTCAAATATATCTATGGTGACTTCGAAATTCTAGTCAAGGGCGTGTTGAAAGTTTTGGGAACAGCAACACAAAATGTCGTCTTCTCTAGCGGAACAGCTAGTCACACAAAATCAATGGTGAAAATGATAAGTGCACCACTGTCGTCAAGTATTATCAATTATGCTGTATTTACGAGACCAAAAAAAGCACTGGAACTGACCGATGCACCCACATCTTTACCACAGGATTTCGGTTCGCTAACTATTAGCGGATCTATCTTCAATGAAGACACTACAATCACCATGGATGGTTTGTAAACTTGCCTCTTAAAAAAATTAATTTTCAGACAAGATCAGTCTTCTTGATTAGGCGAGTGCAGGGGTATTTCTTCCGCAAAAAAAGTGAAAACTTCTATTGATAAAAACTCACAAAGAGTCGATAAGTTTAGCATTATTTGTTCACTTTCTGAGGCATTTTCAGCACATCCTACTTTTCAAAACAATCTGGAACCCTGAACAAGATTCCCTATAAGAAAATTTCACCAAATATTGATTATATGCTGGAAAAAAACACACCTAAATATTACACCAAGAAAACAATGAATGTTCAACCTATTTTTCGAAATTCCTATTCTAAAAATTCCAATGGCAAGTCACAAATATTTCATAATAACAATTACTAAATTCTCGAAAAAATCTCTAAATAGAATAATACTCATATTTTCTTATCTAATTTAGCCACCGTTCGAATCAATCATTTATTTTGCAATTATGTTAAGAAATCCTACGAAAAAACCTACTGATGTCATTTAAGAAAACAAGCAATATTGCTCGGTCAAAAAATATGATTAATCAC